CTGTCGAGGGCTTGCTGCACTTGTCTCTCGGACTTGGCGTCGAGAGCCGAAGTGGCTTCGTCCAGCAGCAGCAGCAAAGGCTGCCGCAGCAAAGCCCGCGCCAGCGCCAGCCGCTGCTTCTGGCCCCCCGACAGCTGCGCGCCCCCGGCCCCGCAGCGCGTGCTGTAGCCCTGCGGCAGCTGCAGCACGAAGCTGCTTGCATGCGCTCGTGCTGCTGCTGCTTCCACTGCAGCAAACGGCTTCGCCTCCCTGCAACCCAGCCGGATGTTCTCCTCGATCTGCCCGCACACGCCCAAACCAGTCTCTATTGATCAACAAAATACACAAAATTCACCAAAATAACTCTTGATTATCCAAAAATAACCCATAATTATCCCAAAATAACTCAAAAATAACTCAAAAATGACTCAAAATAACCTAAAAGTAACCCAAAATGTGTCCGAGGAGGCAAACGCGGGGAAACGCGAGGAGAAACGGAACACAGCGAGCATCCCGGGAAAGAAAGCAACTCAAACGCAGCAAAGAAATGGGTCAAAAGAACCGAAAATAAATCAATTAAAAGGAGAAGTTAAATGAAATCAAATGAAATTAAAGGAAATGAAACAGCCAAGTAAAGCCCCAAAAGAAAGGGGGAAAAAGGCGCTGGAAAAGCCAAAAAAAACGAGAAAAAAGACACGGCCATCAGGTGTCTGTACACCCCACAGGCGCGGGAGCTGGGATCGACCCCACACCCCCCAGGTGTATGTACAGCCCACAGTGGTGGAAAAAAGCCGAGGCTCCTGCATCACAACTCCGATCTGGGATCGGTACCAACTAACGTTCAAAGTCCTTATGTCTCTGCAGCAGCCAACAAACGCAGCAGCAGCAAAACAGAACATTCCCCATCAGGCGTTCCTTCGGGGCCCCTTGGGGGCCCCTTTGGGGCCCCTTTGAGGCCCTTTTTGGAGCTTCCTCTGTACCCTTTTAGGGCCCCTTTGGGGCCCCTGTGGGTCCCCTTTGGGGCCCCTGTGGGACCCCTTTGGGGCTCCTTCAGGGCCCCTCTGGCACTTCCTGGGGGCCCCTTTGGGGCCCCTTTAGGCCCCCCTTTGTGACCCTTTAAGCCCCCTCTGGGTCCCCCTTTTGCGCCCCTTTATACCCCCTCACGCTTTGGGGCCCCCCTGTGTCCCTTAATGCCCCCCTGGCTTCCCCGTCTGAGTCCCCTCCGGGTCCCCTCTGGGTTCCCTCTGGGGCCCCTCTGGGGCCCCTCTGGGTCCCCTCTGGAGCCCCTCTGGGGCCCCTCTGGGG